TGTGTATTTGAGTCGATTCGATCGGTTTATGGACATATCCACTAGTTTCAAACCACCGAATTTCATCATATCTTAGACTCGATTAACAGCTCACAACAACTAAAGTATTCCACCAGCATCAGTGTTGTCCTTACCTACCTGATATGAATTTACAAAAGTCTACTTGTTCTTTATCGAGTATTCTGTTCTTTATCTGTGTAATACTGTTTTGCCGTGTAAAAACCATTTTGAGAAGGTGTATGTCTAATCTCAATCAGTGGCGATCGAAAGCAACTTGAATGAATAGTACAAAATAGGAGAAAATAAATGCAGCATATGCACATCTAAACAACGTGAAGTCAAAACCTTTAAAAAATTCATTGAATCTACTGAACATGTAATCTTCACAAATTATGTTGCTAAAACTTTTAATACTTCACGGCAAAATAAGTATTCTGACTAATCTGACCTAAGCGATATTTATCTTAATATGTATTGTTTTATGATATTTTGAAAGAAATACGTTTATATTATACGGGTTTCATCAGCTGAAACAAATTGTTTAATTGATTTGTAAATCCAACCGTTAAAACATCATGAATTGATGACATTCGCTTTATCTCCGTAATTCTTCACCCGTTAAGGAATGTAATATCTTAGTATATGTTGCACATAAGTTAACAACTTCAGTGGATTTTATTATTTCTCTAATATACTTGTTGGAAACTTTCGCAATATTTAGACATGCAAGCACACTCGCAGGGATCTCCGTTCAAGTAAGTTTTTATACTTAAGTATCATTATATAAGAACTTATATGATCCCCACAGTTAATGCTTACGCTTTTCAGTTTTCGCCTATTTTCAAATAATTCAATTTTCATTGCGAGTTGACTTGAGTTAGAGAACCATTGTAAACCAGTTGCTTCGTCCTTGTTCGGGACTTTTCAGCTGCAAGGCCAACTTGTATATCATTCTAATAAATCACTGACATCATAAGTCATATGAATTCATAAGTACCAAATACGTTTCTGTCATGATATTCTATTTTTGATCATCTGGATCACTGACTGACTTTTAGTTAGCTACTTGGCTCAATTCTGCCTATCTGAATTCATCTGTAATTTAGATTGGCCCTACCTAGTTTCCATGTCTATTGTTACTCATCTCTTAAACTCCTGTGTTCTTGTTTCCCTTTTTTTGAATATTTACTTTTTAGGACACCAGAAAATAATTCTGATGCATCAAAGTAAAATGTGTAAAAGCACCTTATAACTACACACTTGCACACTATAAATCTGTATACACATGCGCATATGTTTATGAGTATGTATACTGTGTATTTACTTCTAGCCAGGTTTTAAATAACTGTGAGCAAGGTTGAAGCTGACTGAGGGTGGTGATCATCTGCTTAAGTTGTTGCGCGCACACACCCACGCACACACATGCATTTGTATCTCATATTGTTACCTTGATTTTATTTATTTCTACCCGCCTTCCTCTTCCTTATATATATGTTAACGATCCAATTGACTGATCCAGAGTACTGATTAATTCAGAATATTATTTATTTTTGTATAATATGATGACTACCATTCTAAACATTTGTTTTTCTCCAGTCTTTAATAAGTTATAATAAACCAACCAACCAACCATCAACAACTCATGTGATCTCACAGCTAGCTCACTTAATTTTGATAAAGAGATATGTGCTAGTAAACTGTTGATTATTCTCTGCCTTAGTTGGATGCACTTTATACTCTTTCATAAATGTAAAGAAAAGAAGCATAAAAAAGCTTTTTATCACTGATTTTATTTCTGAGAAAGAAGGAAAGAAAAATCTCTGTCTTTTTCAACTTTCTTTTTCTTCATTCCTTTCGCCTGTCTTTTATTTTGAGACGAAAACAAGTAAATGTGTTTGAAAGATGCCTTTTTGACCAAAACAGGCTGACATCTTGATATTATACTGTTTTCCTCTATGTATATGTTGTTGTTTGAAAGTAATTTTCCGGTATATAGAAAAACACAAACAAAAAAGTTAAACAAACTAATCACACACATTTTCCACTGTGATATCTAGTCACGGTAAGCATTTAGTGTTTATTACACATATTGTTTGGTGTTTTATCAATACCGCCTCTTTTTATTCTGACCATATCTATATTGAGACATCCTTCAAGCTAGATTCTGTCACAAAGTCATTTTATCAGTGTGTGTGCGCGTGTGTCAGGTGAATCTTGTTTTCTTTTTTTTTTTTGACAATTGTCTTGACATATTCAAGCAGTAACAGATGGTTGCTGCACAAACTATGTCACACTGATCTTTTTCTTCTCTAAGATTTAATCCACTGGAGGGGAGTAGGTTTCAAGCATCTAGTTAACAATGATGTTGAGTGTTTTTTTCTTTTGCGGGGGGACTGATGATGCAAACTGGTTCCAACATTATGCCTACTAGTTAGTTATTTACTGTTTAGTTATTTATTATTATTATTATTTTTCTTGTGTCTTTATATATATTCATTTATGGTATTCACATCATAATTTATTAATTTCTCCTTTACTCACATAAGATTTCATTTATTTTGTGTTGCATATATTTCAATTGGTGGAATAAAGAGATTATATAGCTTCATATTTCATTTTGTATCCCACATTCAAATATTCATAGTCTTGAAAGTTAAGCAGACTGTTTTGTTTTCATATATCATTTTAAGATTTTGCATAAATTTGTGCGTTGGTGGCACAGTGGTTAAGAATCTCACCGACCATGCATGCACATGGTCCGAGGTTCAATCCCCTGCCGACGAACACCTGATATCTATGGTCGGCCTGCGAAATTTGGGCTACCAATATCCATGCTGAAAATTTCATACTTGTACCAAAAATACAGTGTGGAATCTAGCTGTAAATAAAAAAAAAGAAAGAAATGAATTCATGTTTACGATCAAATATGAACTGGTATTTAAAAGTTGATTTACCTACGAATTATTTTTTGTGTTAGAGAAACAATCTAGAAACATGTTTTGAACTCATAATATAAAATTGAACTACTCACTAGGTAGGTAAATTGATAATGATCTCTGTAAATGCATTCAATCACATCCAACTAAGCAACTCCAGGTTGTTGTTTTATATACATGGCACCCAAGTTTGCAGTTGAATGGATCATTTAAACTTTGTTCACGGTGTATTGCTTCTGATAAAAAAAAGGAAGGTACACATAGTAGCTACTGAAATTAATGGATTTAAACAAATTGGATTTCTTGTAATCACCTTTTCCATTTACTTCTAAAAGAAATGTTTGCGATTCCCGCAAATACAGGAAGGTTGAGGGAATCCTATTACGTTCATCGACTTCGAAAAGCCTTCGACAACGTTGACCCAGAAGTAATTTGGGAACTACTTCAACCTCATTCAAGAGCCATGTGTCAGGTGATCCACAACAGGGAACTTCAGCAAGGCGTTCAAAGTGAACACGAGAGTAAGACATGGCTATCTATTATTACTCATGATATTCTCAATTGTGGTGAACTGGATTTATGCCTCAGACTGTGTGTTGGGAGTGAGAAGATGGGAATGTGCTGGACCACCGATAAGAAGACTCTATAAGATTTGGATTTCATGCGTGGGTAATTTATGTTCAATGTCACAGAAACTTGAAGATTTGCAGGCGAAAACCAACAAACAAACTAGCTGGAGAAGCAGGCAGGCAGCGAAGATAGGACTCCAGATGAATATAGAGAAGACGGAAGTGATGAAGGTAACTAAGCCAACAGTAACAACAGCAACCAGTGCCAATCACCCTCAAAAGGAGGGATTTAACAGAGGTTACCTCCTTCACTTACCTAGTCAGTAAGCATTGTTTCAACTACAGGTATACACCACGGATGAAGATGTCAAAGCTGGCCAGCCAGAATCAAAAAGGCAAAATACGAACGCCTTCATCAACCTGAAACCAGTTTGGAAATCTTCTGCACAAACTCAGTCAGCATAATCAGCAATCTTCAGATTTTCAACACAAATGTGAAGTGAGTTAGTCAGATCTTCTATACTGGCCAGAAACTTGGCGTGCGTGTCACAAAAAGGATTTCCAACAAGTTACAGACTATTATCAACAGCTGTCTTTGTTCCACACTGAAGATCAAATGGACAGTGGAGCAAAGCCCCCTATGTGTTCCATTTGGAACCCAAGGGAATAATAATACTTTTACACACCGCGTTCATGATTTTGAGTCTGAAGATTTGAATTTTCGGGCTTATACCTTCCTCTTCAGTCTACTTGTAACTACTTTAATATACTTTTTATAGCTTTCTCTCTTTATTTATTTCATTTGGACTTGTATATACATAATGGCTTATAGCTTTGATAAATTTTGTATTTATGCACATAATTCTCTCCATGTTATTCGTTAAAGCATATCACGGGAATTAATCGATAAATTCATTCGTAATCCACAACACTAGTAAACATAATTAATTTACTTATTATGCAAACCATTAACCTTGAGACTATTAGAAGTTATAATATTTTTTTAAATTTTTATAATATACTATAACAATTTTCGGTATATAGTCAGCCATTTTCCTATCTGCATAATTATATTTATCTTTGCCTAACCAATACAGTCACAACATTTAATCTGGGTACTTTTGGTTAGTTAGCTTTCAGGGTTGTTTACTGTTTTTAATTTTCTATGAAAAATTTAGGTCGTGAAATCTGATTTCATTGTTATTATTATCGTGGTGATTTCACTTTTGATGTGAATTTATTCATTAACCATTCTCTAAAAACTATACTAAAAATTGGTTGTTTAATTTAGGTGAGGTTTATGATAAATACTTACCCTTTTTTGTTCAGTTAAGTTGCACACATTTTTGGCTATTTCGGTAAACCAAAACTAAAAGACACATAACATAAATGTCTGTATTTATTTTTGGTGAATTCACATTTCATTTCAAAATCAATTTCATTCATGTCTTTCTCAAATAATGGTGAAAATATTTGTGTGTATATATATTTACAGATTATCAGATCGTTCCGCAATCCAAAGGATTATGCGTCGAAGTACAGGTTCACAGGCTTTACTTCATCTTTGCCTTGGTTCTAGTGTAAGTGAGACCACAACACCGACAACTATACGGAATTCTCGACACACAGATCGTAAGTTTGATTAATTTTATGTTCAAAGTTACACTTCATGGTGCATTTTTGTTTTGCTAACAGCACACTGTTGGTTTACTTAGAGTTTTAGCCTTCGTGAAGGCTTCTTCATGAAACTTAACATCATTATTGAATTAACGGATAAGAATACAACTGATAATAAGGTTGTAAAAAAAAGCCTAACCTGTTTTTGAGCATTCAACCCTCATTTTTACACTGTTTTGCCAATAATGTCATGAATTCACGCAGTTACTTTTTGAAGCTAACTGTTGAATGAAAACGCCCTGAATTTCTGATGGGAATTTATAACATGTATGAGGGCAACCTAAGTCATGGATGATGCCACATTTTTTTCTTCACGTTCCCAGTGGAACATAGGGCTTGAAGTTTCTATAGAAGTGTTTATTTTTACAGGATGGAGTTGCTAGGCCCATGGCCAACCTTTCCTGTTTACCGGCATTATTTCTGGCTTACCTAGGTAAAGGGAGTGACTTGGCCGAGGATCGAACTCCGGACCATGTGCATGGTCGGCGAGCGTCTTAACCGCTGTGCCACCGACTCACTTGATGCCACATACTGCTAACTAATTTATGTGAACAGTCAGCCTGTTAGCCCGCCAGCCAGATTGAAGTGACCTAAACATCGGATGGCGGTTTCGCTCGTCTGAGGCCGACCTCACCAGCCAGCGGCGTGCCCGCATTCGATTAGTTCCAGACACTTGAAACAGTTCAAACCGAAGTTCTAACTAGCTGCTCGAGCAAAATGGTAGTACAAAGTGGATCACATTCGCAAATTAATCAGTACTCGCATCAATCAGTAGTGTATATAGCACTGTAAAATTTATGCTTGCTTCTTTAATTGTTATTTATGGCATCAAGCAGATCACACTATGCAATCTGAATAATTTCCGTTTCCTGAAAAGGAAACTGTGGTAAAACACATCACTTCGAACTGTGTAAATCTGCAAATCGCAAATTAATGCTCAAATAACGAATTTGATTCTAGCCTAAATGAAGATTTTTAAATTGGGAATAGTTTCGTGTAACAGTTGAATTGTTAACAAATGCTTATTCTTAGATTATCAGTTGTTGTTGTTGTTGTGCCGTTATAAATGTTGTTGGATAATTCTTTGAAAAGTTGTCACAATTTCATATCATATGTGTATCATTTATTTGTAAACAAATTGGAAAATAATTCTCAACAGATTTGATGTTTGTTCCTCATTTTACGAAAAGTCAATGCCTCAAAACAAGTAAATGTATATGTGTATATTTATTTTATTTTTGTATGCATTTCGTAAATTTCAGATGGTTATGCCTTTTCTCAAGAAGAACATGGTGCTGTTAGTCAATCTCAATTGATCCGTGCCTATGATTCAACGCGTACAAAGCCAGAAGGCAGATAAAAGTTAACAATCAAATACAAAAAACTCTTTTTGTTCCACACAATAATGTTTATTTATTGTCGTTAACAGGAAATAATTCCACTTGCCTTTTATTACTCACACTTTTTTCGGTCTGCTTTAATCTTCTTTTATTTTATTTTCATAGGAAAGAGTTTATTCAACTGAATTTCTTGTTCATTCTTATATACATATATATACATAACATTGGTCTTTTCTGGTGTTTGTACACTGTTATTGTAATAAAAATGCTTGTTATAGAAAGCTTTTATGAGTATGTGTGTATGTATGTAAGTAAAGTAAGAATGTGTATAGAATAGACAAGATCATTTTCTATTGTTTCATCCTGACAACAGAATAATAAAGCCACATTATGCTTATTTTATTATATGGATAACAGTGTATGCAGTCAGTCTAATATGCGTCCATTTTTTGTTGTTGCTTTCTTGTTGTACATTTCACCAATATAGAGAAAAGTTCAAAAACAATTGTCTAGGCTTCCTAAAAAGGGGGATGTCTATTAAAGAAGTGAAAGCAATAAACGATGTGTATAATATATTTATATATGTTTCTCATCATAGATATGTATTCTTTGTCTTCTACTGATTTCGTTGTTTCTTTACTGTAAAAGTAAAAGTAGAAGTGTGTGTGTGTGTAAATGTGTTTTGAAGTCTTATCATCGACATGCTTTCTCCAATGCTTTCATCTCATTGTACTAGTAGTGCCGAATGAATGGATGAATGTCTAGGAAATAAATTGACTACATAATTATTATTAATTACCACTATGTATTACTGATTTTGTAAAAAAACAAACAAAAACGCGCACACACACCCACACACGTTAATACTTATCCTTGGGCATATTTATTTCTTGTTATCGTGTATACACTTACCTTTTTTGCCAGATAAATAAATAAAGGATGGATGATGTATAATTACAAAATTTCTGTATTGACGATTAGATCTGTGTTGTAAATTAATTCTGCCTAACTACTACCTTGTTGTATTACTTCTCTATTTCCTGTCCTGCTTGTCTGTCATTCAACCTTTTAACAATTATGACTGTCACTATTGTTACCATTATTATTAGCCTATTTAAACTATTGGCATGTCCAAATATTTACATTTATCTATGGGGATAATAGTGTTACTGACATGTGTCAATCAGACAGAAGATATATGCAACAACACTTTTCTTACAATTGTATGGCTATCAGTGTTTCGCAATAAATGGATTCATATTTATACATGCTGCATATACATTGTATCCTTGTTGGTGTGTGTGTTTTTTATGAGGTCAAGTTTTTTTCTTTTCTTTCTAAAGCAACATTCATGAGAACTCAATGAAGATATGTTATTGTTTGTTATTTTAATGACCTATATTGTTAAACAATTTGGTATAAGTAATATTCACCCACAGATTTTGTGTAAATTATTGTTTTTGATTAAATTTTTCAGTTTGTGATTTAACTGTTTCTTTCCCGCGCGCTCTCCGCCCCCCCCCCCTCACAAACACACACACACCTTTTTTTCTGTGTCATTTTTCACTTCTTTCTTACCAATAATGATTAGTACATCTTCTTACATCTTACAAGTATCTTCCAATTTTTTTGAAATTGAAAAATACAATGAGAAACCCATTGAAAAAAAAAGTGTATGTACATCAAAACTTTTTCTGAACTCCACATTTACTATTATACCTATCTACACCACACAAAATTAATCAAACTCCAATCCCTTTAACGTATTCATGTATATATCAGTCTTGTAAAGTTAATATTTAAGTAAATAAAAATATCTGAGGTAATTTGAAGTTTTACTTTATGACAAAAATAAAGTAAATATCAAACACAAAGTCAAATGCTGAGGAAAAATCAGCAAAGAGAGATAGAGAGGGGGTAGGGGAATATCAAAAATGACAATAACACTTATTGTAAGCGCAATATCGCTTGAAATTAAGTCATGCGTAGATAAAGGCCATCCTGGTCCAGAATAAACAAGAAGCCGGTCACTGTTTCTACGGTACTATTAATAAACAAATCAATAATTATATATACAACAAACCTTAACGGTTTCAAGAGTACAAAGCACAACGCTTAACAGAAAGCAAGGTACCGCTATCACAGCGGAATATAACGTTAAAGCCAAAATTGTGAACTAGCCGGAATCAGCCACGACCCTTCAGGTAAGCAGTCAGTAGAAGAATGAACCCGTGTAAGGCATGGCATAAAACAGAGAGCGGTTAAGAGATAGACCGAGAATAGGCATAAAGATAGAATTTAAATGGCTACTTAACCAGGTAGGAAAATACAGGTGAAGATCAATAAATAAGATAAACTCGACAGAATAGTACAAAATAAGACAAGGGTCAGCAAAAATAACAGTTCACAAAATACTCTGATTGGGTCATGAGTTCAACTGTCTGACTAAACGGATCGAGGTAAAAACACACACAAACAGTTCATTAAAAGGGGGGATAGACACGTTACACAAGGCTGATCCGGGACAGGTTGATTTGATTCAAGGATGGGAATTGAATTGATCTTACACTTATCATATAAGCAGTTAGATAAAATGGTAGGTTATTTAGAGTGAATACTAATAATAAGGCTTTATTTCAGACAATATGATAAAACACATAGTATAGAAAGTCTGAGCGTATATAGAATATTTCCTCTTCGTGCAACATCTGTACCTACAAGTAAAATATGTGATAGTGTTGTTATTCCATATAAAGATTGTGTAACGACAGAAGACAAGCGCAAGGGAACAGATTGTTTGTCGAGAAAATCGAGAGATACTCATAGATTTTTATGTACATGATTGTCAGCGGAGACGCAACCTCTTCTGATTGGCTGTTTTCCTACTGAAGGTTATTTTCTGTACTGCTTGTGATCGTTTCATAGACAGTCAGGCCATATATCTGCGAATCGTATTTGTACACCTTAAGTCTGCTGTGATTGGTTAGTGAGTTCCTCAAGGTTAAGTTTTGTTACTGTCTTCTCTCACGACCTGGATTCGGGACGTAAGTTGTTGTCTACAATTTTGGCTTGCAGACAGCTCTCACCACAAAAAAACCAATTCTTTACGATACTTTACTTTTATTTCCACCAAAAATCGCATAGTGTCTTGTTGAAAGTTGATTAAAAATGTGCACGAGTTCATGTAGAAATAATTGCACGATTAAAACGAAAAGAAATACGGAATCGCCTAAGCACTGTGATGGATACAAATGTTGGTAGCCCAGTGATTTATGCAGGTCGTCGTAAATATGAATTTTCAATGATAGGTCTCTAGAAATTTTGGTTAACTTATGTATACCTGTTTTTGAGAAGTAGTGCGTCGAATTTATCACGATTGTTTTCACTTTTCTGAAAGCCTCATGTAGCATTACACAGTTTGGACGCTTACTGTCGAACAGGATACTGACTGTTTTGGCATGAAGTCATTTTTGTGTTTATAACTACACAACTTCATTGATCAGACTGCCTACTTCGCTGTGTACACAACTTTTAATTAACCCAAACCGCAGGAAATCAAAAATAACCAAACACTTCTAATATTCATTAATCTATTTCTATATTTATATTCATGAAATGCACAAAGGCCTACTGTTATGCACTACACCAGAAGCCATAGTTCAGTAACTAGGCGTAAATCAGTGAACAATTCTTTATCTCCCACAGTGTTGCGAAATTCCCAGAATTTATTGCACCATTACATTTGTTTGTTATTTTGTAACTTGTTTTCAAACGAAATAAAAACCATGCAGATCACTCTTGAAACAAAATTCGCATTTTAAAATCAGCAAAAACATAATAAATATCTTCGAGGTGATCAAAAGACTACGTTTTCACCTACAGAGATCATTTCGTTTGCACATTTTACTTCACTTCCAAAATCCTGAGAGATGAGTATGACATTCATGTGTACTTGTGTGATTGATTCGATTTAGTGTAAATATTTGATATCACAAATGTTTAGCTGTAAAGTCTTCAGTTAAATGATGCACTCACTACACATTGCTTTTTGTAGAAGATAACATGATAAGTGCAAGTGATATTTTAAAAAGTTCAGTTAGTTACGTGTAGTCTGGTTGGTTAGTGGCTACGCCCACAATTAACTTTGAAACTTGTCTGGCTTTTGAAGTATTCTTACACGAGGATCTTGAAAACTATATCGGTGATATGTATCCACATGATGTGTGTTTTGTTTTTGACAGTCTATTATATTTTGCTATGCCTATTTGCATCGATATTTCATTATAACTGACAATATGCTTTTGTCTGTCCACTAACTAAATAAACATGTATGACCTTGTTGTTACATGACATTACAACCAATCATGTTAGGACTGTCTATTATTGGTTCATGTGTATTAGCCATTTTCATATATACTTTTGTACTAGACACTTGTTCATTCTTGTCCCCACGTTTCGTACATTGCGTACCATTACACTCACACTCTTGTGTGACATTTATTTTCCTTGTCTGGAAAATACAAGTATCATTGTAAACCTGGTGGTCTTCTGATTTCCCCCTTTCCGCGTCAGGACTATTAACTACTCGACGAGTACATAGCAATCGGTCAAACTTATTTCAGTTTTCATTTCTCAGGAAAGTTCTCTCATGAGTAATAGCTGTTGTTGTAACCTATCAGTACTCGCAAGCTTTCCTATTTAAAGTTAACAGCTTTCCTGCTTTTGTTAAAACACCAATTTAATATACGGAAAATTACTAAATTGGGTCATACACAAAAAAGATGTAACAGTAAAATATTCTTTTCAACGAATCATTTTCAAGAGCTGTAGAATTAATTATTATTTATATTATTATTTCCTCTAATTCCTAGAGGAATATAGGGCTTCAGCCACGCGTCTCCATCGCGTTCGGTTTTCTGCCAACGTTTTCACCCCGCTCCAAGTCTCCCTACATGCTTCCATCTCCTCTTCACATGACTTCCTCCAAGTCACCCTAGGACGACCAACTCGCTGCGTCCCT